GAAAAACTCATTGAGCCGTTGTCAGATGCGCGAGAAAGGTTTGAAAAAGTTTGTCCATGCCGGAGAATTGTTTGACATTCGATAAAAACTGAAGAAGACCTTGAAAAATTAGAAGATTCACAAGAGACTGTGATTATGAGATCACAGTCAAATCTTACTCAAGAGGACATTCCGTTATCCCCCGCTTCTACAGAATCACCTATAGAAATACAAGAATTTACCGATAGTAATCTTAAACTGCCTTCTATACCGTTGATTGATGATGCAGTCACGAAGAATATTCAGTTACCCTGCACCTCCAAGGAATCGCCTCTGCAAGTTGAAGAAGTCATCACTGAGTTACTCTCAACTTCAGCAGAATCGCCATCACAGTTTCGTACGGAGCCTGTAAAGAGCACTATACAAGACATAGTCTGTATTGTTTGCTCAAAAGCAGCATCAAGTGCTCACAAGTGTAAATCGTGTAATATGTTTGTTCACGCAGTTTGTGGTGAAGTAGATCCTAAAGAGGAAGGGTATGGTAAGAATGTATTGTGCATCATCTGTAAAAAGAATATGGATCAGAAAATACAGCGTGATGAAGCCAAGAAATGTTTAGAAAAGCAAGCAAAGAAAATGTTAGCAGTTTCTAATGCAAAGCACCCAAACGTCGATGAAGGTTTCGCTGTGAGAATTAAAGTACCCGAAGAAGACAGAGCAAAAACTGATGCACGTTCAATTTTAGCTGTGGTTCTTAGTAAAACAGAGGATGGCTTTTATAAACTTGATACTAAAACAGGTATTTTAAAACAATTGTATGCAAAATCTGAATTCAGTGTTTGCAAAGAGAGATTTTTAACGAAAGAAGATGGATGTCCCTGCTGTAGAAATATCTTTACGTCAAACAGCAATAAAACAATCCCTTGGTACTGGGCAGGGTTTCAGAAAATGTGACTGCAAATCTAAATGTACCACAAATAGGCGTGCTTGTCGCAAAAACCAATTGCTACGTAATTCAAAGTGTCACCAATCTTTAGATTGCACTAATAAGTAAGTACAATTTTATCATATGTTTTGCAAATTCATTTCCCTAATTGTAGTAATATTTTAAACCGTTTGATTTTTGTATTAAAGTTTTTTTAATTGATTGATGATTGATTCAATCAACTAATTTGTTGATTGTATTAACTTGATTCTTTAGATATTGAAAATTAAATAAATAACATTATGTTAATTTAAGCGTACAGAAACGTTGCTGTTGTTCCAGCAAAAATCTTATTTTCACTTTACCGAGTGCCTAGTAGGTAATTTGCAGATTACCTAGATAATCTGAACATTACCTAGGTAATTTGAGAAATAGAATAATTTTCGCAGCTTTAATGGATCACCCTAGTTAATCTGCAGATTAGCTAGGTAATGCGCACATTAACAGATTTCGAGCTTTAGCAGTAACACATATATTACTAACTGTGATCCAATTACTTTAATAGTCAAATAAATGCCACTTATTGTATTATAAATTTCAGTTTATATATTAATATAAAAGCATATTTTAAAAATTCATTTAAAATGTTTTATACAATTAATTAATTACAGTGGGTAATGGTTAATGAACATAATCCATTCCAAGCCTTTGTTTGCTATCTGAATTATTCATTAATTGATTATTGATTTACCATAGATTTTTATGGAAATTTGATTAATTTGTTCTGGAAATCCCAAAAAATAAATAAAAAATTATATACTTTCTTACTATGTTTATTTACATTTAATAAGAAACTAAAAGCAATCTCTCCATTTTTTCATAGATGGCACATCTTTGTTTCTCAGATGTGATTTTTGTTACTCCTTTAGTTGTTCGAGTCTTCTTGATTATATCTTTCTTAGCTAAGATTATGCCTACTGTAGACCTGTTCAAGCCATACTGCCTAGCACCATCAGACATCTTCTGCCCACTCTCTACCTTCGCTATTATCTCTTGCTTGGATTCTAAGGTGAGCACGGTTCTTGACATTCCATTCTTTTTAGCTTCATAATATTATCAATGTTTTTTTTGAAATAAAAAGTTCAAAAAGCACTCACAAAAATTCAGTGGACAGAAATCAACTAGTGCACGAAAGAATTATGTAAATGTGAGGCCCGAATAAAATTAGAAATTTTGATGTTAACCTTTGTACAGGTTAGTCAGATATGGTACTATCACGATGTAGTGGAGAATAAACGTGGAAATTTTTTTAAAGAATTTTTCCATGTGTTTTTCTCGTTTCCATTTTGGAAAAAATTTTAAAAGAGTTATGTCTAGTAAAGTAAAATATTTTTTTATTGTCACATAATTCCTTTTTTATGTGAATTTTTTTTCATGGTAGTTTTTGGCTCGTATTCAGCAATATCCGCAAAATTTTTTTGTAGATATAGACGTCGTTCTCCAGTGCCACACGATTGCCTTGACGGGTATATCCGTCAATTACTGCAGAGTGATTAAACCATTAACGAATATCTGATAGGATAGTTAAACTCTCACCTTTCGAAAATAAAAACTGACAAAACTTAATGAGTGCCCAACAGTCTCTCAAAGACTAAAAAAATTATTTGTCAGAAAGGTAAACAAAAAGCTGGAATTACAATGGAGGGTTTCAAAGTTCGGAGGAATAATATCTGATTGGTATCGGGTTGAGCATCTTCCTTGCTCTGAAAGGTTTTGAATTGTTACCTGGAGACAAGGTAACAAAAACCAATTGAAATTTGTAATTTTATGTCACTTCTTTCTGTGTTTATTCTGTAAAGTGTTCGTTGTCTGAACATAAAAATCATTCAAAAAAGTGTTCATTATCCGATTTATTCGCTGTCCAAACTGTTTGTTAACTGATCACCCACTGTATATGTAAATTCTCACATTCTGTTTAAGATAATGAAAGTGAAATAATTACAAATTACATTTAATACAAAACATCTAAATATATAATGTAAAAATGAAACATTAGAATCAAATAGAGTTTACTAAAAATAATTTAAATTAAAAATGCCTATGACTATTATTTCAAATAACATTTTTAATTGGAATGTCTAAGATATCTAAAATGGCCACCAAACACAAACTCCAGTTTGAAAANGTCAGACGATATTGCACTAGAATATGTTCAAAAATTCTAGATATATATATAAGCGTTTTATTCAAATGCGACAATAATCAGATCTTATAGATAACTCGATATACACGGATAATCGAACTATCACTTTAAAGATTGCGATCACTCGAAAAGTTACAGTTAGAAACGAAAAATTTAAACGCCATTAGATTCGTCAGACGATTTTTAACTAGAATATGTGCAAAAATTCTAGATATGTATATAAGCGTTTTATTTAAGTGCGACAATAATGAGATCGTATAAAAATAACGATAGTCACGAATAATCGAATTTTTACTATGAAAATTGCGATAACTCGAAAAGTTACAGTCAGAAACGAAAAATTTAATCGCCATTAGATTCGTCATACGATTTTTAACTAGAATATGTGCAAAAATTCTAAATATATATATCAGCGTTTTATTCAAATGCGACAATAATCAGATCTTATAGAAAACTCGAAATTTACGGATAATCGAACTTTCACTTTGAAGATTGCGATAACTTGAAAAGTTACAGTTAGAAACGAAAAATTCAAACGTCGTTAGATTCGTCAGACGACTTTGAACTAGAATATGTCCAAAAATTTTAGATATATATATAAGCGTTTTATTTAAGTGCGACAATAATCAGATTCTATGAAAATAACGATAGTCACGAATTATCGAATTTTCACTTTGAAGATATCGATAACTCGAAAAGTTACAGTTAGAAACGAAAAATTCAAACGTCATTAGATTCGTCAGACGATTCTGCACTAGAATATGTGCAAAAATTCTAGATATATATATAAGCGTTTTATTCAAATGCGACAATAATCAGATCTCATAGATAACCCGATATACTCGGATAATCGAACTTTCACTTTAAAGATTGCGATAACTGGAAAAGTTACAGTCAGAAACGAAAAATTCAAACGCCATTAGATTCGTCAGAGGATTTTTAACTAGAATATTTCCGAAAATTTTAGATATATATATAAGCGTTTTATTTAAGTGCGACAATAATCAGATCGTATGAACATAACGATAGTCACGAATAATCCAATTTTCACTCTGAAGATTGCAATAACTCAAAACGTTACAGTCAGAAACGAAAAATTCAAACGCCATTAGATTCGTCAGACGTTTCTGCATTAGAATATGTGCAAAAATTATAGATATATATATAAGCGTTTTATTTAAATGCGACAATAATCAGATTTTATGGAAAACGCGTTGGTCATTAATAATCGAATTTTCACTTTTAAGATTGCAATAATTCGAAAAGTTACAATCAGAAACGAAAAATTTAAACGTTATCTGAAATCTGAATATTTCAGTTATCACCGAAATTAAAGTATTACAATAAATTAACTTATACTACATGTCGAAAAGGTTATAACAAATACGGCTTTTCGCCGTCTAGTACAAAATAATTAGAAACAACTGAATTATGTAGATCGATATAGGGTTTAGAGACAAGAACACTAATGTGTTATTTTAAAGTTCGTCTCAAGCGCTCTAGTCTTCTTAATAAAAGTTTGAAGTTTATAAAAAAATTATTTTTCAGTTACGTTATGGTGTAATTTGCATGGCTAATTGAATTCGTCTTGCAATGTTTGTTGAATTAAAGAGCTTTTTTCTCTGTTATAGTTGCTGCAGTAGAAGATCAAGTGATCGACATCTTGGACCGATGCACCATCGCAACTGCATGTTTCTTCGTCGGAAAGACCGAATCGATTAAGGTAGTGCTTCAGATTCCCATGTCCGGTGAATGTCTGTGTCACGAGGTAACCAATATTCAAATGTTGCATGGCAAGGCGCTGTTGAATACATGAGAAAAATTTAAAGGTGATTCTTCCTGTATCATTATTTTCCCAATCCACTTGCCACAGCTGAAGGGCAGTTTGTTGAATCAGATCCTTGATGTTCTTCTTGGTAAGAGCAGTATAGATGATCTCACTATTCTCATTAGCATGCTTTTCGCTAGTCTATCTGCTTCTTCATTTCCCTGCACCCCGCTGCGGCCTTTAACCCAAGCGAAGCTGATTTTATAGTTGTGTATATTCTTCAACTTATTCCGGATGTTATTTATCATATCGCAATCAAAATAGTCACTGTTGATACGACGAAGTGAGGTTTGGCTATCCGTACATATACGTAGATGTCCTTTGTAGTCTTTCAATGTGTAAATGTAAGAGATAGCTTGAAATATAGCGTACAATTCGGCATCAGGAACAGAGCAATAGCTGGCTAGTTTAAAGCCGGCTTCATGTTTGAAGTTTGCATTGCCATGTTTAAAATGAATAAAAGATGCTCCTACATTTCTGTTGTTTTTGGAACCATCCGTAAAGATAAAGTTAGTAGGGTATGGTTCTGCATTAATATCAGTGATGTCAGCCTTGTAGTTATTTGTTGGGTGAACGTATTTAGATTTCTCTTTGATTATTCCATTATTGACAAAGGTCTGTAAAAAATTATAATCCAGATTAGGGAGGCAACCGATATCCGCATACTTCGTAAGATTGTTGAGGCCTTCTTTTGTAATCTGTATATTGTTGAATGTCCATGTCCATGTTAGCATTTTAACTTTCAGGTATAATGGAGTACACCCTGCTAATACTTGCAATGCTGCGTTGGACGTTGTCCTATATGCTCTACACATTCTGATGAGTATCAGTCGTTGTATGGATTGAATCTTACGTTTGAAGTTAATATTGTCAATTTTTTCGCCCCAAAACGGAGCA